TGAGTAGTACAAGTAAAGTAGGAAGACGTATAAGGTGGGTCAGCAACAATGAACAGGTTAGTGCTGAAAGTGCTACAGTGATAAAGAGTGAACAATTCTATCGGGCTCACAAGGTGGGGAAACATGGCATTGGCGCAGTACAGCCCAGCATGACAGCGTCTATGTTGTTTTGCATGCAGTCAGGGAGAGTAGACTGGCCTGATGAGACTGCGACATGACAGGGTACTGAGAGTTAGCAGTCCGATGGTAGAAGGAAGGCAGAGAGCGCAGTAAGGAAATGACTAGTTCAGAATAGTGAGCTTTACTGATTAGGAGTAGAATACCAACGAGGCTCTCGAGGTAAGGTGGACAGGGCTTTTGGTCTTCTGAACCTCGGCCAGTAACGTCACAGTAGTGTGAGAGAAGCCGAAAAGCTAGAGACCGATCAGACGGGACTATCTGAATTGGAGTATCATGACTCAGTCGTTTATTTATGGTTTGTGAAGGAAGAGAGAGGATCAGATGTGATGAACAGGTTAAGGGATGGATGAGCTTTACCAACAAAGTGGGAGCTAATCAAGCAAAGTTCTCTGGGTGAGGGAATCTGGGCGTATGATATCCAGAGCCTAGGTCGTTTACTTCTGGATTGTCTCGATGCAGTCAGAAACCAGGGGACTGGTCAGATAAGAGTAGATTAAGGCAAGGCACAGCGTTGACAGTCTAGTTAAAGTAACGCAACCCGATACGACGACAAGGATAGGGCAGGGTAGGGATAAGAATGACTTTATTGCTAAAGCGTATAAAAGCACATGATGGTTCCGAAATAATTTGTGCAGCCCATTAGGTCAGCCGAAAATGGGAGGTAACATTTCAGAAGGCTGAATGAATCCGGAGAACAGCAGACGGACCGGGCAGGACTAGGTTAGTCGGCGTGCTATGATTAGGACGTACAATAAAGATGAGCGGAGACCTATAAAGATAAAGGGTGAAGGCGTCTAGAAGGCTCACGAGGTTGCTAAGTTAATATAGGTTGCGCAATTCCTGCAGGCTGTTGTGGTGAGGGGAACATGACATTGAGTCAGCAGGGCCTAGCCTGTTAGTATCTCCGTGGTGTAGTAGGCAGTCAGAAGGAAATAGACTAGTTAGTTGACACCGTCAGTGCAGGATACTGAGAGTAGGCAGCCCGATGGAAGGAGGAAGGAAGACAGAGCGCAGTAAGGAAACTACAGAGTCAGCGTGGATAAAGGTTTACTGAGTAAGAGTAGAGAAGTCAACGAGGCTATCGAGGTAATGTGGACAGCGTATTTAGTCTTCTTAATATTAGCTGTTAAGATCACAATAGTCTGAGAGAGGTCAGAAAGCAGGAGCCCAAATACAAGAGGCGGTATTAACAGGCCCATAGAGATTTAGTACTACAGTTAGGTGGTTAAGACAAATAGAGAGGGTCAGCAGAAATAGATATGTTAGATATAGGTGAGGTTACATTAAGAAACTATAAGTAAGCATTGATGCTATCAAAAAAGCTGCTCACCTGCGGCGTATCTGGCCGCACCCACTAATGAGCGTTTGCATACTTTCAGGGAAGAGGGTAGGGTGGAAGTGTGGGTCGCAGTTTATCCTTTAAGTAAATGGTCCTTAGTGATGTCCCACAGTGCTCGATCAATGGACCCATGCTGTTCTCCAACTATGTAAGCTATTTCCCTGAGGAGCCTAGGTTATAAATAAATAAAAAATAACTATTTTATTCTCGACTATGCGAGGCACGCCAATTGAGGCATGATCAGGTACGTACAGCTGTACAGACATTTTATGGGAACTGTAGTGACAGTAGAAAATTGTTTATATGTCCATGCTTGGAACTGTGCAATAGTGAACATGCGAAACAACGATTTGGTTGTAGTGGGATCGCGATCCATTTGTTTGGACATAATCGCTCTGCCATATATCGCAGTCATACCTCGACTAATAATAGATTGAGAATCCTGAGTGATCCATTGGAAGATAATTGAAGAGGAAGCTATCCAGTATGATGATTCTAATTGAGCTGCCAGTGGGAAGTTATGGGCTGTGACTTTATTCGGTGGCGAGTCACATTCGCCGCGTTACAGTGTTGTTAAACGGACATTTGTGGCTCTTTGTAGGGAGAACGCTTGCCAGGCGAAAACCCACCACGTCCTGAAACACTGCCGCCAATCCATTGAATGGCAAGTTGTAACTGACTATGTTTCTTGTTGAACAATTGTTTGCTCCGTTATTCGCAGTCAAGTTGCGTCCCAATTTTTTGCTGACTGATGCGTTATGCAAGTGGCCATTGCGTGCCTGGATCATCTCCTTTGCTAGATCGGTAGGTCAGGAACTAAGCATTCTTTCTGGATATGATGTGTCGATCATCTGCAGAACCACGTGAAGTCTCGAAGAATATACGTTGAAATATGTTGAAGTCTTGGAGGATAGGATAGGTTCCGAAGAAAGAATCGCAGATCCCATGGGGTATGTAGTGAAATTGATTAGAAATATGGGAAACCACGGCCATTTGAGCGGTCTAAGCGGATTGAAGAGCGTAGAATGACCGATTGTTCAAGCTTTGTATTGGCAGGAGAATGTGCCTTCCGTAGTCGAAAGTCCTCCAGTCAAGATATATGTGGAAGAGGTATTGTTAGGTAAGTTGAACTCAGTGGTTCATGCTGCGGAAGAATTGTATTAGTCCAAGATATTGAATGATTTGTCCGGTTAGTAAGTTGTAAAAAAGTTGAAAATTTTCCGCTCATGTCCAGGTAAAGGAACTGTGTGCTTTGTATTGTTGTCGAAACGGAGGACAATTCCTTGTATGCATGTCGCCGTACCAGTGACAGACTCGGGAGAAAAAGGAAACGAACAGAGACAGCCACACAGACAGAAGAAAGAAATGCATCTGGAATGCATTGTTTGCTAATGACCTAAAGCTATGGAAGGTTGTAACTGTCACTGGGCTATTGTGGAACTTCAGCGTGCCTTGGACAGCCTATGAAGCAGGTGTGCTTAGTGGCTACTGCCAATTAATTAGGCTGTGTTTCATACTTCGTATAGGAACAACGTACCAACTTCCAGGTACAGTTCGATGGGTCGCACTTCCCTTGTCTAGATACAGGCAGACTTAAGCGTCGTACATTCCTCGTCTTTGTAGTTCGATAACAAGTGGAAAAAACGCCGCAACTAACGGTTTCAGAATGTTATGGTTAATACGCCGTACGATCGGGGTCTTAAATGCCAAGATATACGTGAAGTTGTTCGTAACTTTAAGTTGGCCCCACCTGGAATACTGCAGCTAGGCTTGCGCGCCCTGCCTTGGTCGGGACACAATGGAACTCGAGACTCTTTTGAGAGTAGGTACAAATTTGGTCGAATTATAACGGATGAAAGCGTATCCCGAGAGCTTCGCTAGCTTGGTATGTATCTAGTCGCTGTCTATGACTTCGACGTGACCTAACCCTTACTTGCCGACCGGATCAGCGTGGAACATCTGTTATCGCCTAAGGTTATCGAGCGCTGAAATTCACTTCCAAGAAGTGTAGGAAGTGAATCTACGGTTAAACGCTTCATGCATCAGTAGGTCCCACTTGGTGACAACACGAACTCATTCTTTTCACTGCCCATTTCCAGCTTCCAACTTTGCGTACAACTTGTGTCATTATCGGGACGCTAGTCTTATCCTTCATCTAAAGGACTTCCTAGTTCATCTTCTATTTACTTTTTAATTATTACTTACATCACGTAACCTGCGTATCAGGGACTTTATGGCATGAAACGTAAGCACGAAGTGCTTGACCAGGGTGTGGTTCGTGTTTCCTATAAGAGTCATCCATAACACGTATCACCATATATTTTCCTGGCTCAACGCTCAGTTCAAGAATGAACCTTAACCGGATTTTGATATAAGTCCAGTCTCATCTTAAGCTGAATACCGGCCGTCTACTGATGTAATGCGCGCATTCCAAAGAGCGCGGGTAGAAGAAGACCCCACCTCCAAGCTACACACATGTAGCTGCCGCACATCCATTAGAAGGCCAGATGGCCGTTTCTTCAAATTGTTACCCTGTTGCGGCTCAAAATCGCTAGCGAATAGTACAGCCTCAGCCAGTAAAATGGCTCGCTAAAACCACCTCTGGATATGGAACTTCTTTATGGCGGAATCTCCATAGAAATATCTTATTGTCCGGTCCCAGTTGAATTTAAGTAGGAAGCAGAAGCAAAGGCAAAAGCTCGCTTTTAATGCACAATAAATAAAAATTTATGTTATCAAATGCATTGAAAAGAGACGTTAAACAAACATGTAAGGGTTAATTTCGGTGCATTCGATGAACTTAAAAGGTTAGCTTTATCACCTTGACCGGTAGCAATGTTTGAAATTCTACTTTTTTTTACTCGGTAGCGTGTCCTCACAGTGGCGCGAAATTATTACGCGGATGATGTCACACGGTGTAAACTTAACATGTATCCCAGTAGGAATAAATCCGTCTGTCTGCTAGGAAACACGACGAAATAGTTGTCCCATCATCCCATTCTTTTTCTGAGCGTCAGGATCTCCAGAAGGATATTGTACATAATGAGCTTCGAATTTACATAATGATTGAAATGTAGCTGCTATGTGCATAGCTTAAACGCTGCGATATAAAACTAATCAAAGTGTCGAGGTTTCGGATAAAGGAACATGAAAATAAGTTCAGCTGCAGTTTGACAGGCGTGCGTATGTTCTGGAGTATTGTGGCTGTGACGATCATACTCATCTCTTCATCCACTATAGTCGCAAACATCTGCTATCAGTTAGAAATACTTCAGGTTCTGTGCGCCTCCTGACACGGAAAATTGTTAAGGGAATCCATGTTTCGCCTTTGTTCTTACGCTAAGTTTTGGCATTGTAAGTTTTCACTCTCTCGCAGGAAAGATATGCCTTTAAATATATAATGGAAAGGTGTAACGCTGTTGAACGTACTGAGTGCATTTCATTTAGCTCAATCTTACTACACGCGCGGCAACTTGAACTATCCCTCTTTCTAACTCTGTGAGTGTTACGCGGTAACTCCACTTTCTGGTGTGCTACGCTCTCTAGTCTTTTAGATGGAATTTTTGTGAAGTGTTTAAATTCATATTTGTGACGCAATTTGACTGTAATCAAATTTTATTCCTGGATGCTATGACATCCAATTGCGTGGAATGTGGGAAGTGTGTCACCTCACGTTCAAACGCCATCCCATGCGCAATCTGCGACAGATGGATGCACATAGCTTGCTGTAACATTAACAATGGTCTTTTGCAATATACTTAGTGCACTACATCTAAAGGCGTCAAAAATCACTGCGACCTATGTCTAACGTTGCTTAGCGACAAACAACTTCTGAGGAACCCTTTCATCTCAGCGCTCCGTGACCTGCCTTACACTCAGCGTCTTCGACAGATGAACATGTTTTCCTTGGACTACCGTCGACGTCGGGGTGATCTGATTTACACCAGACGGATATTGCGAAGACAGATGGGGAGTGAACTGCAAGAGTTCTTCCAGCTCTGCGCTGATAGCTCGACACGAGGTCACTCTTGGAAACTGTTTAAGCCGAGGAGGGTCCGGATTCATTCTGATTTCACCCTATCAACTCGAGTGGTAAAGGACTGGAACAGCTTGCCTGAACTGGTCGTTAGTGCACAATGTGAGGAAAGTTTTAAAAAACTGTTAGACTCCTATCTGCTGAGTATGCAAGGATCCTTCTGTTTTCGATGCGACCGTAATGGTCCCTTGCGGAATACCGCCTCGCAGCATGTCACACAATCCTTGCTCTGAACGGGATGTGATGGAGCTGACACAGGATGTCCTATCTACTCTCTACCACTCCAATGAAACGTACATACTGCTACTGCGCAAGCCGTCTCTAACACGGACAGCGAGACACATAGGTTCATAGGATTATAGAGAGCAGAAGGAGAAATGTGTTGTCAGCTCCATCGCTTCCCGATCATTGTGTGGATGCCGCGATTCGACTTTAAGCGACAATCCACAAGGGACCGTGACAGCTACACTGGAAGCTGCAACGGCCCATCGTACTCAAAAGATAAGAATCTAACATTCGTTTGAAACATTCCTCAGTCTGGGCATCGACCACATGCTTCGGCAAGTTGTTCCAATTGTTGACTATGCGAGTTAATAGAGCGAGAGCAGGATGAACCCGAAATCTTCTGGGTTTAAACAGTTTCCAGTTGTGGCCTCGAGTTGAACTGTTTGCATTGGATTGTAAGCACGCCTGCAGCTCCGTCCCCATCTCTCCTCTCATCAGTCGGTCGAGATTTTTAGCTGAAATAACGTGGGAAACAGTGTTCGAATAAACACTTGAAGCGAAATTTGACTATTGTCAAATTTCACGGGTTTGCGCAGAACGAGTAAGCGTAGCTTTTCGGTGGTTCTGCCTCGGCATCTTACGGCAAGGTCCTGATCTCGTCGGTAGGTACCAGATGTTGTGGGTCTCGACGCAGTAGTGGTGTTCAGCACAAGTATTCAGCGAGTTGACTGTGGGAACGTGGATACCTGGAACAAGAGAGTGGTGTAGGTAAATTCGGCAAAGTTGGATAGAAGCAAAATGATAGAAGCGCCGCGTGTTAGCTTGGCAAGTGGCCAGATCTTAGCAACGTGGAAGACCAGCGAGGTAAGAGCCAAGCGTCTAGGCGCTGTTTGAAGGCCTCCGTATTGGGCACTGAGACAACAGCTTTGGGGAGGGCGTTCCAAGCGAAGGCAGTACGCACACTGAAACTGTTTCTTCGGCACAGAAGGCGACTGCTACGAGTCATCAGTTTGAGTGAGTGCCCTCGAAGATGATCTGTACGGGCGCGGACCAGCAATCCTGCGTTTGGGTGCCTGTTATTAGTCAGGACGGAATAAGCTAAGATAAGGTCGCCACGAAGCCTGCGATATTTCAACGGGAAGAGGTTAAGGGCCACCAGACGCTCCTCGTACGAGAAGTGGGATAGTCCGTCTACTCTCTTAGTGGCTCTGCGCTGTACAGTTTTTAGCATGGCCTCGTCCTTCTTCAGGTACGGCGGCTGGACAAGTATGTTGTACTCCAGCAGCGGACGTACTAAAGTGCTATAGAGACGGACAAATGTCTCTCTAGGGAAAGACCCTAGTGCACGTCCAAGGAGGGCCAGGCGAACGCTAGCCTTTCGCGCCAGTGTAGCTACATTGGCGCTCGGGCTCAAGTCGGCGGATATTATGGTCCCCAGGTCGCGTTCCTGGGATGTGGCTTTAAAATGCACACCGCCGATATTGTACGGATTAGCCACACCTTGCCCAATGTGCATGACTTTGCACTTGTCGTTTTTAAACGGGAGCGAGTTTTTCGAGGCCCAAGAATAAGCAGCATCGATATCTGTCTGGAGAAGTGCCTGGTCACTTGGCCTGCGGATAGGTCGCCATATCTTAGCGTCGTCCGCATAAAGCAGTATGTGGCTGCTGATACAGGATGGGAGGTCGTTGATGAACAAATTGAACAGCAGGGGCCCGAGGATGGATCCCTGGGGCACCCCGGTCGTTGCAGCCAGAGCGCTGGAGAGTGCGCCGTTTACACGAACTCGGTAGGTGCGGCCAGACAGGTAGGTACTTAGCCAGCAGATTGTTTGCTGGTCGATCCCCAAACTCGGCAGTTTACTCAACAGCAGTGCGTGATTGACCCGGTCGAATGCTTTTGAGAAATCCACGTAAACCACGTCAGTTGGAGTATGATTTTCTGCCTCTGCAGTCCAGAAATCAAGGGCTGCGAGAAGATTCGTGGTGCACGAGTGAGCCCTGCGGAACCCGTGCTGTTCCGGGGCTATTAAGGACAGGCTTTCTAAATGGCAGCGCAAGAAATCGTCTATGATACTCTCTATTACTTTCGAGGCAGTAGGAAGCAGTGCTATCGGGCGATAATTAGAGAGGTTTGTCCTGTCACCACCCTTGTATATCGGCGTTATGACCCCTTGCTTCCAAGCATTCGGGTATTCGGCACTGGTGTAGGAGCGGCTGTACAGTGAGGCAAGCGGCTCGGCCAGTACCGTAGCGCACTCACGTAGAAAAATGGGAGGGATCCCATCCAAACCCGGCGATTTGTCTGTCCTTAATTTTTTTAATTTCTCCAGGACTTTCTCTGATGTAAACTGCACGGGATGTCTGGCAGCGATGGGGGTAAAATTAGCGCCTTCCATTGTACTGCGTGCGAAGGTGCCGGAAGCGGACTCGTACTGAGTCTTCAGCAATTCCGCAGCTTCTTTGTTCGACGTTGTGGTATTGCCAACGGTTTTTTTTTTTCTGCCAACGGCAGCGCGCGATTTAGTGAGAGACGCTATATGCTTAAAGAAGACCTTGGGGTTATCGGCAAAGCTTTTAGCGAGAGAGAGCTGGTACGCTTTTCTGTCCTGGCGAACAGCTGCTATACAGGAATTTCGCACTCTACAGTATTGTGCTCGCGAATCAGAGTCGCCAAAAAGTAAGAATCTGTCCCAGAGGGTCTTCTTCTCCCTGATCAGCCTAAGCTTAGCAGGCTGAAGTTGTCTGTGGCGTTTCGGCGCATAAGCGCGCACTGTGGGGACGTGTGCCCTAATTGCGTCGTGGATGTGAGCGGCGATGTAGTTCCAATGGTCGTCGACTGTGGGGGTTCGTGCTGCCAGGGACCAGTCGACTCGTGAGAAGAAATCTTTGATCGCGTCATAGTCCGCTCGACGAAAGTTAAGCCTGATGGGCAGTGCTTTAGCGTTGAGCGTGACGTTCGCCACCACACGAAAACTGATAACTGCATGATCACTTGCACCAACTGGGGCGCTCAGATTAACGTTGTCAATTAGATGTGGCTCGTTGGTGAGCAGCAAGTCGAGTTTCGACGGGTTTTGACCGTCTCGCCACCGAGTGTACTGCTGTACGTGTTCGGTTAGGCCATGTTCTAGAACACTGGCAAGAAACTCAAGGCTGTGCTGACTGCGAGCTTGGCCAGAGGTAAAGTCTATCTCCGGGAAATTAAAGTCACCTGCGACGAGTAGGGGGCACCCAAATCTGAAGCAGCTGCTCGGAGGGCGGCGTTCCAGCACTGCAGCCATTCTGGCGCAGCTGAGGGAGGGCGATAAACCACTCCAAGGGTGAGACTGGTGGAACCAGAGCCGCGGACGTGAATCCAGAGGGATTCGGGAAGAGATAGTAGTTCCGGAGATTTGAGAGGGACGCATGTGAGCCGGTCTGATACATACACAGCTTTTTTTCCGCCTTTGCCGCTTTCACGATGGTTTCGAAAGAGCACGTATCCCGGGATAGCTACCTCGACGTCCACAACGTCTGGGCAGAACCAGGTTTCGGTTATATATATAACTTTAGCTTACGTGTCCAGCGCAAGGGAAGAGATTTCGGACACCTTGTTCCGTAGCGATAAAGCGTTGGTGTACAAGCAGTTACACGTGCTAACATAAATTGCTGGCGGGCAGTGGCTTGAAGGCATAGATGGTAGGGTAGTTCCAGTGTGGTTTACGCCGACCCCACAGGGGCCGGCGCCTACTCGTTTTTTGGTATATCCACAAGTCGCGTAATAGGTAGTGATGGAGTGGCTCGGCTGAATGGCGTGGAATTACGTCCCTGAATTTGCCTGCGCTCCTCCCGCGATTTGTCTAGATGCATTCTGACTTCGTACGGGAAGTTTCCACGTAGCTCGTACCACCGTTGTAGTACAGTCTGGCGCATCTCAGGAGTGAAAAGAATGACCCTGAGCAGTTTAGGCGCCTGTATCTGCGAGAGGTGAGCTGGCCTCGGCAGCCGGTGAACAGACCACGCCCCACAGTTGTCCACTGATAAGTTGAGCTGCGACCGAATATAGCACCACTGCTGAACATCGTGGCGGGATGATTCAGCCGGGTCGGCAGTGTGGAGTTCTGCGACTCCGTGTATAATTATACTGCAAGCTCTATCGTGGTTGGCGCACGTGCTGTTGATACGCGCCTCTCTTCTTGCCTCCCTCACAACCCAGGGAAAGTCTGGCTGGGCGCGGATCTTTGTGTTCAGTTTAT